TTTTTTTTTTTTTTTTTCTGAAGTTCCAAACTTATGATTTCATCTAATTTATGACTTTAAAGAATTGTGAGTAGAAATTCATCGGGGAATTTTATGATTTAAATATTCTTTCGGAAACAATTAACTGCCTCCATTTTGATGTTTTCTTAACTTGCACTAAAGATTTTTCTTAAAAGCAATGATATTTTTCTAACATTACAACTGGGAAATTCAGAAAATAATCCACAGGTTTTTTCTTGATTTCGTATCAGAAAAATATTTACTGTTTTCTTGACGCGTAGTGAATTGTTGAGTATTTCCTAATTGAGGACGTTATTAAAGCAGAAGCAATACAGAGTCATTTGTTTTGTGAAAATTTTTTTGTCTTAAATGCAGCCTTAATTTAAAACGTGAATTTTTAGGTTCCATGGCGAGTGTGATTTTAAAGCGAAGCCTATCCTTGAGTGCAGTTGCACGACAAATGATCCAGCCTCCAATTCAGGTGAGGAATTAGATGGTTTGAAGTCAATATGACGTTGAGGTTCCAGTGTGACTTCGCAAATACGTTAGCTGTATTCAAAGGGCGATTACTATTATTCAAATTATGTGATTCTAAAGTTTTTTGATATCATTCTTTACCTGAGTTATCAACTTCTACTTTTTTGACATCTTAATTTTTTAATATCCGATGACAGTACTTAAAATTAACCATATACATCCGTGCTTTTTGAAGTAGCTTATGAAGTTTTTAAAAGTGTGTATTTCAAGTTTTCCTTTGCCGTTCATCTATGTTTTATCCCAGACATTTAAGAAGTATTATTTATAATCTGCTTTTGGTTCGCTAAATTTAGTTGCGACTAGTTTTTTCACCTTTATTGCCTTAAAATTGTTTTCTAAAGCATTGAGTTGGTTTTTTTGAAGGTATATTTTAGTTAACTCTTCCTTCGTACGTTGTTTGCGTGACTTGACTCATTTTGAGGTTCATGGCATTGGAGGACGATACGCGTCTGCTCTTTATTCAGCTGCTTACAAGGTCAACAAACTCGACGCTGTAAATAATGATTTACAGTCATTCAAAAAAGTGTATTTGGAAAATCCAGTTTTGAGAGTAGGGATTTTTGCTACTTTTGTCTTATAATCAGCTTTGTAGTCATATTTTATTTTACTTCACTAGGTAAATGAAACTGGCAATAGCATCAATTTCACAGTTTTTTTAATGCCGTTTTGCGGTTTGAAATACAATAGAAAATACCTCATTATTCCGGCTTAGGAGTTTATGCAAGATCCAACGCGGAGACCAGCAAGTAAGAAGGATGGAATAGCTGCCGTTCTAGAGAAAGTCAAAGTTTCTAAAGAAGTTTCGAACCTTTTGAGTATGTATTGTAAAAAAGATCTTTATTTATTTTGCTTTTTTAAAACCTCAGTTTTTTCTTCGAGAATAGGGAATGGAAGGGGCTTGTTGTTTTCCTGTTTTTTTTTTGCTGCATTACCTCTCTATTGGGCCATAAGCAAAAATAAGCCTTGATGTTGGTCTAGACTTTTTATTTTCAGTTTTAATGGCTGAAAATGGACGGTTGAACAAATTTGAAGACGTAGCTGACTCTTTCGAAACAATTATGAGAGCCCATCGAGGAGAAATTTTTGTTCAGATAACTTCTGCAGAGGTTTTCATTTTTTTTTAATTTTAGGGCTGACTCAGTATATGCATTGCCTTGGGAAAGTATTCTTATATTTTTAGCGAATTCGACCGTTAGCGTTTTAAGAACAATTTGGAAGGTTTTTCTTATTCATAAGGTTAAAATTTAATTGCAGTCAGTCTGCAAGCGAGAGCGTCATGTTTTCGGCGTAACTTACAAACTTAAAACTACTTGTCTTCTCTCATTTTCAGCCGTTGTCGAAACAGCACGAAAAGTCCCTTCAGGAAGTTTTGCAAAAATTTGTGAAACCTAATCAGAAGCTACATGTGAAACTAGTCGTAAATCCGGCTATAATTGGAGGTATTATCGTAAATATTGGTGACAGGTATATTGACATGAGCATTGCCTCGCGTGTTAAAAAGATGGAGCAGATTCTCCAGTCTGCCATCTAATAATGCTCTTATATAGTGATGAGCGTTTTAGTGGTACTTTTATTTAGCCTATTAGACTAGTAACTTGACTGTAACTCTTTCTTTTTTGTTTTGTATTTATTATGTTCTAGAAGCTCGTTATTCAATATTGGATGTACAAGGTGTTCTGTTTTTAGTTAGGTCTAGATCCTAAAATAGTTGTTCCTTTTTTCACAATGCTCTCACACCGACATATTTTTTCACAAGTTTAGTTAATTTGCAATCACTCGTCAGGAACTGGTTCCCGTGTGAAGCCGTATAACGAGTTTTGTTTACACCTTTTAAGTGCGAAGTTGAGGAGAATAAATACTATATGCTATATTGGTATCGTTTTCTACAAAATAAGTTTCGATAACGGTTCCTGACAATCCCGTCTTTGTAATGCTGCTTCCCTGTAACTTTAGCATAACCAGTATTAGACTGCCGTTGCCTTTCATATTCCTGGTTTTGTCGGTAAACTTTTCGTTCTATTTATGCTTGTGGTCATTTCCTTACCATTATTTGCTTGAAGGGAATATTTATGATCAAGGAAGGGGCAGCATGTAAAACAAGGCTTTTGAGTGAAAATCGAGCTCTCTAGAAAAACCTGTGTACTTTTTCTGTAAACGTTTCTTACACACTGAAAGTTGTGTGCTTTTTCCTCACAGTGCCTTGCTACACGTGAAGGTTAATTGTTGCTAGATTTTTCGCCTCACCTGCAAATAAAATTAGCCTTGAAATGACTCGAGTCTTTTAAAGCTTTGATACCATTTCCAATAGACGAATTTCTAAAAAAGCAAAAATTACGGGTGTTTTTGACTCTAAAATTAGACTAGAATTGTCTAGAGGGACTAAGAACGTTTTTGATGTGAAAAAGGACTAAAGTGCACTATTCAAGATGGAGTTTTTTGATGTAATTATGAAAGTGTTGAGGGGTGTTAAGGGAACTACTAGAAAGGTTCAAACGGGTAGTTTGAGAAAAACAAGAAAAACATTTTATCTTAAGCGAGAGGAGAGATAAGCTAACTTTCACAAATAATTTGAAGAAATAGAATTGGTAAACTCCAGGTGAAAAGCGGACAGGGATTTATGGTAGTTGATTGCCTAATACTGTGGCCAGTGATGTACTACCAAATCTACATTACACTTTTGATCATACGAAATCGTATAAGGCTTAAATTTCTCAGGGACTTGCCTTAGTAAGATTTTTCTGGACAGCACACTATATTCTTAAAGAAAATGCGGTAAAAGATTCAGAGCAAGTGGTTCGTTCCGGCGCAATAATTGCAGTTACAGGTTTACGCTCTCTGAATGTTGTCTACAAAAGTTGGTAGTTCCACCAGCTTAATGCTCAAGCTTGGTTAGGATGTTTGAATAAAATTAACTATATATTAACAAAAATGAACAAAATATACATTTTAATTTTTAAAAAATGCAGAGTAACTTATTTAATTTACTTTTTTCAAAAGAAAAAAAAACCACCATACAAACGAGCATGCGAAAAGAATAAGGTAAAACGTTTCATGCCTACCGATACAAATTGATAAAACGCAATTTGTAGCAGTTACAACCGTGAAACTGCTTCTGAGGAATACGAAACATACTGCAGCCATACGAAAAAGTGTCCCAAGCACTGATTGCTAAGTATCCGTGGCCATATTGTCGATCAGACCCAAAAAAATACCATCTTCATGGAATACTGACGCGTGAAAAGATTTGCTAAAAATTCCTCCTGTCATTACCGTACTTTCTCCTCAATTATCCCCCATCTTCAAAAGGAAAAAACGGTTCAATAACGCTCGGAAAGAAAAAAGTGAATGAAAGAAAATTGGATTAGGAACTTACTATTCAGCTCCGTCAACTGCCTTTCCCCACTTTCTTAGCAAAACTACGCGTTCAGTCCAAATTTTCAGATCATTGCCATGATACCCAGTCGTGAAGAAAAAGCGACTTAATTTTTTTTTGCTCCAAGAAGTGGGCTTGTTTAAAGATTTTTTGCTAACACTATCGGAAAGACATGTCATAGTCAGTGATCTTAGCGTGGTTTTCTGAAACATAAAAAACAGTCTTCAGTGTTAAACGGCATTATCCTAAAAGCTAAAGGAAAATTCAATTTTGAATAGTTTCAACTCGCACACCAGCTAACTTGATTCATATATGCAATCAGTTAGATAACTGTTCAAAGTGCCTTTGCAAGAAATGTCGTTCAGATTTTGTTTCACATATTTTTCATAAAAAGGTATAGTCAGTCTAATAATCAAATTATATACACTCTTGCTCTTTAAGGCGCTTAGGCAATGTCAGTCTAAAAATCAAAAATTGCAAAGCAGCTTCCAGTGCATATGTGTCAACTATCTGTAAAAGTTTTTTTTAAGATCAAATACTTCATATAAATTTATTTATTTCCGGTTAGGTTAGTTATATTGGTCACATACTCCCTTTTCATTATTAAGCTTATCAGGAAGGAGAGTTCTAATTGTGAAGGTATAAATACAAAAAAAGCAAAGTACCTAGTGTACTTCACTAACTTGAGGATTTAAACTCGAAGTTCTCGCAAAGTGCTAACAAGAAGAAGAACTAACTAGTTGATAACATGACTAAGGAACCAAAAAATAAGCTACACTGGCTTGCAGAGAACGCCAAGCAATGCGAAAATTACAATGAAAAGCAGTAGGCTTGTTGGGAAGAAACACTTAGGCAGAAATAAAAAAAAAAAGAATAATGATATGAAGCTTCCGACAAACAGTGATGATAAAGTTGCCAAATAAAATGCACATATTCACGTAACCTTGTCAGAAAAGCCTCTGCTATCATTAGAAAACTTCATCTATGGCAGATAAGGTACGTCAGCTGCGAAAGCGTTCAAGGACAAGTCTGTGAGAAGTTTATTTGTTTCTATCAAAGGTCATCAGGATGTGAACGTACTTATGGGGCTCGTGAGCAAATTCGCGTAAAAACAAGCTGCCTGTCAAAAAAGCCGTTCCAGAAATGAAGATCGACGTCAGACGCTACTTAAAGATTATTGAAATATAGATATAAAATAAAGACTAGCTAAATTTCCCCATAATGGCGATACCAGAAAGAAAAGTTTAACGGGCACTTAACTGTCTCTGCACTGCTGTCGATTACTGTGCTTATTGTTGATACACCAATAAACGCTCTTACAACTCACTGAAATCCGCAAATTACGCTTAAAACGACGATGAGTTCAAAAACTACTTAACTAATTCTAAACCAGTGGCGTAGAGCGAGGAAGATAGAGCATAATCAAACCTCGTTAACCCAATTTAAAAAAATTTTAGAAAACTTCAGGTTAGACAAAGAAGTTTTCGCGCTTTTGGGCCTTGTTCTTTCTGAACTCACCATTCTTTTTAGGCTGTTTCCCAGTCAGATTCTTTTCAGATTTTCCTGTATGACAGGGTTTGTGTCCTGAAAGAAAAGACCAAAGATATTATACACTCTGCCACACTCTTTTAGTAGGAGTGGGCACTCTTTGTAAAATTGCAGAAATTTTCATTTTTTTTGGCTGTTGCGAGGAAAACAGTAAGTTCTTATGTTTTTCTGATTAGGTGAAAAATAGTCCTTCTGCTTTTTGGGAACCTTGGAGTTTTTATTACTTTTAATGATCAAAAAAACAATGCAAGGTCCTCAATCCAAGGCCAACTAAGAAATACTAAACTTTCCGTTTTTTCTAAAAGATGCGTTGTTTGATCTTTCCTCCATAATAAATTTCAAGGCACAGCGACAATAGAAAGCAAGAGTGAAACGAAGTTTCAATATCAAATTAAAATGTTTTGTTTCCGCAATGCCGCACTCAGGTTAACAGCTTGAATCCTTCTAACCACAATGATCTGGATTAACGAGTGCTGTTTACATCGCTAGAGGCTGTGAACACGTTGTCATCGATACAGGCAAGGATACGCCAAAGTTGTAAAATTGTAACACCAGTTTGTGCGAGACAAATCACAAAAAAACAGAACTTTGCCAACATCGCTCAAACAAAGCACTTCCGGAACCTAACAACAATATTCTAACCGTAAAATCTTTGTGTTTTATTTTTTGTAAAACAAAGAAAATTCTTTTTTTGGGAGGCCAAAGAGCAGACTTTAAAGAAGGACTTTGTTTGCTATTACATGTTATGAGTTATTACAAGAATTGAGTTCAGCATTGTTAATTCTGGATCAGAATATTATTTATTCTTATTCGGTAATTTGTCTCTGATCAGTTGCGATTAACTATCGTGCAGAATTTCTAATCTGTCTGTAGCTCCTCCAGTGGATTTCCTTCAAAGGTGAGTAAATAAATTTGTTGTCCAATCTAAATTCAGAATAATTTCGTTGTCTTTTAGTGCCTCCGTGTTGTCTTACTACCTCTGTTTTCTCAATCTCTCTAAAGTTTAGTAAGTACTGGCATTAGGTCAGTCGATTAATATTATTCTAATTTCATGTTCTTCCTTAAAGGAGAACAATTATTACCGTTTGTAAATGTAGATTTCTCCACGAAAAATAAAGCTAATTCTATTACCGTCTCTCCCTTTGGCCCCGTATATGAGCAACAAGTCCATTCAAGCTATAGGAAAGCATTACTAGGGAATCAATATAAGAGAGTTTCCTAGATTACGATAAAATTACGGTATTTTGATAGAAGAGAAATTCACTGTAATAAGGGGGTTTAGTTAAGCCATAACTTAATTCAAATTAAGGTTACTGGAGAGATTATAACTTTACCCCTACATACGTTGATAGTCTGGTCCGGAAGCAGTTGAGAAAACAATGACTATCAGTAGGAAGTTATTATGGGGATAGATCTTTTCCAAAATTTTAGGACTACGGTTTAAAGCGGGCGGCTCCTATGCATCACAATTAACAGTGTTAGAAAGGCAGTGTTGTGGAATACCGTGCGAGCTGAGACGGTACCTTAGCGCCAGATCTTTAAATAATCAAGAATATGTGAATGAATGGACAATCTTGAAATTTCAAAGTATGAATAGGATGAAGTACAAGTCTTTTCACAAAGAAATAAAGATAGGTTATTGACAAAGAAAATCTAGTTGGAGGTGGGTTGCGTTGATCGATACATTTGTATATCTGAAGTTCCGGCGCGACGCACTTCAGTTGGAGGGTGCGTGAGGATGATACACTGTGCTGATTGACGACAGAGTGAAGTTTTGGGAAGACGGAAACCCGACAATTTTTAGTCATATTTTCTATACCTTTTGTTAAAAATGAATATGAACTATAAAAGTGTATGAAAAGCTGTCTCTCAGTTCCAAAAAAGGAAAAACCATTCGGAAAAGAACGCGAAGATGTGGTGAATCGTTGGAAAACACTATTCTCGGCAGTCTGGTAGGACTTTTTCGTCGCCGAAAAGCAAAGTTTTGAAGTTTAAGCAGTCTCAAATCTAAGGTAAAGCTGAAAATTGAAGAAAAAAAACTAGACGTAAGAACGTATTACGAAGTTATATACGCTGCCGAGCAAGAAGGCGTAAATACGTAGTCCTCCGGCATGTTTGGTGTCGAGTGTTGTCATCTAAGCTGCAACGAGCGACTGGGAAGCAGGAAATTATGGAACTTCAAGGGCCCTCTACTAAATATGAGAATTGCAGGGTAAATTACTGATGCAGCTGTTAATATATCGGATTTTCGGCATTGTAGCATTTGCCTAGGAGAGAGATGTAAGCAGGATACGGGGACTGTGTCGCGACCATCCCCGGAAGCCACAAGCATACAGTCTTCCCGAACGGAAGCTTTGGGAGGATCGGGAGGCTTGATTAGAAACAAGAAATCAAGGGTCATAAGCTGTAAAAGGTTAGGATTCATTACAGTTGTTACTGTTATTGATTCAGTGTATCAAAACTCGATTAACCGTATTAATTACTTTTGGCTCTTCATATCTCTTATCTTTAGCGTTTCATTTTTCGATTTGTAAGGGACATATTCTACTGTGCTAGTGAGGCAGTTTTATTTACTGGAGTTGTATATCAACTTAATTTGCTTTCTTGTTGTCATTTTACTTTGATAGTAACATCTGTTTTATTAGACTTTTTGTTTATCAATTGCGCTTGGACTAATTTTTGTTGATCTCTGGGCATGTCGTAGACTTCAATACTCTTACGGTAAATAAATAAATACTGTAGTATCGATTGTTCGTCGTACATAAGCCAAGCATGGGCTGTGGCATATAAGAAACGAAGATTAAGTGATAAAGTAGCTATTGGTTCTGCTTCCTCAGTAAGACATCTGGGACTTGCGGCCTGAGGTCTTAGAAGTTTGTAGAGGTGAAATAAGGAGAGATATGGGTCAGTACTGTGAAACGTAGGGGCTAACGACGCCCACAGTAAAGGTAGGTAAGAAATCAAAGACCCAGTAGGGCACACCAGGAGGTTAACCTCAGTAGTTATCCTACAATTTATGTGTTCTGTCAGTCAGCTAAGACAAACTGTTTGTGCTTTAACCGCGGATTAGAATATCGTGATATGAGCGGTTTTTAAGCGTAATTTCGTCTACCGTAAGTCTCAACCAGATTTTCATATTCCGCATAGCAAAAATTTCCTCCAGTCTTGCGAAAATTTGTGATGGTTCTATTTAGAAATTTAATGGTTTGTCTAATTAGTTAATTTGTTGCACATATCCATGCTTGATAATCTATCTTTAATGAATTATATGCTCTAAGATTTGCGCCTAACAAATTCTTTGTTTGTTGGAGAAATCTTCTGAAGTTCCAAGTCTTCTTCTGAGTTCAATTTTGAAGTTTGGTACACAGCTGTACAATGTTTTTAGAGTGTCAGTTATGAGGAAAAGGAAGAAGACGTTATACATGTAACCACGTGATCACAGAAAATGGTTATTTTGTTGTAAAAATATTACCAGAAGGTGCGTTTGCTGTAGTTTTTTCATGTCGAGAATGCTGATACAACAAAAAATTTTGTTCTGGATTGTGAATGGATTTTTCGACTTTCAGGGCCGCAGTAATTAGGTATATCTGTAAACAGTTGCGACTTTTGTTTGATGTTATACTGCAATATCTTAGTCGCTTAGATCATTGAACTACCGCCTTGTGGCATTCTTATTTTAATTAGCCTAGTACTGTTAATTAGAACTTATGTTCTCGAAGATTAGCAGTTGCTTCTAAAGCGGATGCTCAACGAGTGTAATTTGATGGAGAAATGCATGTTTAACAAATTGTTGTTCACGTTGCGATAGTGTTTGTTTTCATTTACTTCGTTTATTATTTGCCCGTGCCGCTCCTCCCTTTCACCACCCTTTTCTGTTTGTTAATTTGTATACTGTTTGCCCTCATCTAAACTTACATAAGTATTGGTTACGATCTGTTGCAATGTGCACTTTTATTATCTTTGAAGAAAAAAATTTGATTTGTCACTGGTTTAACTACTGGAATTTCCCTTTGTTTTATCAAATAACTTGCTTTATAGTTTTGCGAGCCTCAAAAACAAAAGCGATGAGTGAGAATGCATCTTATATTAGCAGGTTTGTTTGAAGAATTGAATAATTTTTCTTGGTTTATCTGAGGACCGTAAGTACTCCTAAGATTTTATGGTGTTTTGTTGCTGCTTAATCCAGATGACACAGGGAGCCATAAAACAATGAAATGTAACTCAAAACCGCCGTCTGGTTCTTTGGTTATTATAGTGTAGTTTATCTGAGCCTTTTCAGCCCGCCACCGACTGTTTTAAGCAATTTCGAAACACAGGCTTTCTTACCCCTCTCCATCACATCAGCTTTCTAGAAAATCATAATTTTTTGATTCCAGAACAAATTCTTTATTGAGTGAAGACTGTAATCAAATGATGGTTGCTGTTAGAAAAAAATGTTAGTTTCGTTCTTTTCCCAGTTATGAAATCCTTTTGCTTTTCTAATTATGCACTCGGCCTTATAAATTAATATTTATGGAGTCAGTTTACTTTAATGGTAATATCGATCTAAAAAAACTGATATTATGTATGAAATCTTTATTTCAGCTACCTATCGAAAACTTTCGTTTACCCCACATGACATGGGAGGTTCGAGTTTTGCACCGTATAGTGATTGGTTGACAAATTTAGAAATTTCCTCTGAAGTATGTTGTGATGAGTCTTGCAACGCCGATTTCGTAGAAGTTTTTTCTAGAACTCAAGGATTTTCAGGCTAAATTAGTTGCACAGAAGGACCATGACAGATACCTCTACTATGTATGTGATGCCAACTCCGAACTAGATGATTTATACGGGGACTTTTTTGAGAGTATGAAGTAATAAATTGTTGGAATTTTGACTGAAATGATTTCTCCTCACCATCATAAATGGAGCCCTAACTTTTGAACTTTGCTTCTTTAACACAGTAAAGGTTTTTGTTTTTGTTTTCGTCGTTGGGTTTATTACGGTTCCTTCTTTATTTGAATCACATCTGAAAATTTTAGAGCGTTTTATAAATCTTTTAAACTTGCTGAGGTCCGAATGGAATCGTCTCGCATCAAATGTGGCCAGTACTGTGTTTTGTGTACGGTGTCAGAAATAGCGTTTGACTTTTTGTTCAAAAGGGGGAGGATTGTTCAGGTTAGTTGGTTCGTTTCAAACTAGGATAACTTGCGAGTAAATTCCCGTTTTCTTTTTTTTTCAGGTGTATGGTAACGGAACTGTTGACATTGAGTGCTTAGATGACCTTAGTTTCACGAACGTTGAAATTACTGCTTTGTTTGAGCTAGATACACGTTTTGCCCTACTGCCGTTCCGATATGCACCTGTGAGATTTAGAACTTTCAAACCAATTATTCAGGATAGTAGCAGTGTTGAAGTACGAGTTTTTCCTATTGATTAATACCTACTTTTAATGGTAACTAAAGGGGTTGCCTGTTTTTTTTATGGTGGATTTGTTACACTTTTACAAAATTGATATTTTGTATCTACTTTCTACCTGTTTTTCGAGGGCTTAGCTAGGCTCATGGCTGTTTAGGAAATACGTTTTCAATGCGTATCTGCTTTAAGCCATCAAGGGAAAAGCCACAATGTGCTCGTTGTTGGATTTGATACGGTTAGGTGTTTTTCAACATGTATAGTTCATGTGAATGTTTATTTTAAACTCTTTATGGTTTGTTTCTCACGCATAACCTTCTGGATTGATTAATTAACGAGTCTTTAGGAGAAGGAACAGTTTGTTATCGATGTAGTTGTCTCTAGAGATCTTGGATATTGTTCTTTGTTATCCTTAGTCGTTTCATTCCTTTATGGTAAAGTTACTGGATATCTTTATCGTACCGTACTTTGCTATTATTTCTGATTCTAATGAGTGCTCTACTTCTCTCAAGAATGCCAGGACAATGATAAAGCCTTCAAAAAAGAGAAGCAATTTGTTTGTTTCAAATTAAAGAGCATTATTTATTTTTTGATAAATCAAAGGTTACAGTAGCTGTTTGGGGTGTTTGAAGACTGTAAATGAAATTCCTATTTGTTTCTTGAGTTTGGATTTGATTGTTTCCAGGCATCCCATACAGAGAGGAATATGAGGACGAAGTATGGGAACGCTTCAAAAGTTTTTTGCGCCTTGTGACCGTTGATCGATGATACGGTGATTTTCTTGACAAAACAGTTGTGTGATCAGTGCAGTGTATAAACTAATATTTTTAACTGGTTGGAAGCTGTAAATTTTTCTCGTATTTGTTATTCCTGATGAAAAACTTTTTGGTTTTTTTAAACTTTGATATGGAAAAATTTTCATTTTTGATTCTGAATGCGCATAGAATGCTGGTGTATTGTTCATTTTTTTAATGTGGCATAGATTACTGAACCTCTTTAAATGTACATGTGTTGGTATGATTACTTGTTTGTCCCTTAATGGTTTTCATTACTTGCTATACTTGTTAATGTTTTATAAAAGGTTGTTTCACACGTCGTAGCATATTAACAATTTACTGCAAGTAACTTCACTGTATTCCTAGATAAAGAAATCTACCCGATTTAGAGAAACTTTTTATCATTGCTTGACGAAATCAGTAACTTTATCTTTAAGTATTTAAGGGTGGACGAAAAACACACGCCTAGTGATGCCAGTTACGGGCATAACTACGGTGGGGTAGTTGAGGGGTTGCTCCTTATTTGTGGCTAAAAAGAGGCGACAACAGATTCTTCGTAGTCGTTTTTGGGAACTGCTGCTATGTTTTCAATTATGTGGGCTTACAATGGTATTAGGTGTTGTAGAGCTTAGAAGCCTGAGTCGAGGTTCCGATGTGAGGACGGTGTCAGGTGATGTTAAGAAATCTTCCACGGTATAAAATTCAATATTTTTTTTCCACTATGGGATAGTAGGGCCGAAATTGGACCTTAAGATGAAGATCATGAGGTAATAGTGGTGCTGCACTGCTTTGATCTTTTCGCGAATAAGTATTTTTTTTGGTTGGCAGAGAGTAAGAGGATGTGGTGGTGAGGCAAAACCTACCGGTAAAAAAACGATAAAATCATTATGTGTAGGGGTGTATGGTGAGGTTCTGAGCAAATTCGGAGTCTGGAGAAGAGCTGCCCAGGGAATTCTTCTCGCTGAAGACGTAGGTCAGTCTTGACATCTTTGCTATGGACTTAGGTACCGTTTCATCGAACTCCACTCTTGATCCTTACACTGCTCTGTGGCTGGCTGGTAGTGCTGCGTTGAAAAAATAAAGAATGGATTGGTAATTAACTATACGTAGCAGATCGGCAGGACGAGTTGGATCGCTCAGCTGCATGATTAGACTTCAAACCTAGATAATTAGATCTTTGTTTCAGAAAGGAGTTATTGAAAACAATGTTATAACAGCGATATCTTATTCAACATTATCTATAGGGAATATCGCATGGTAGCCACAATATTCGAAGCGTTTCTGCCTACTCGCAAGGAACTAGAGGTAGTTGCAAGGAACAGAGGACTGTGGTAAAGGCGCGATATTCAAATTTGGGGTTCAGTACCCAGAAGCATAGTGTAAGGTGTACATTGGATTTTTCATACTGCTTTGCTTCGCAGATATTTTGTTGAATTCTCATAAAGTCTGTTTGGCAGAGCAAATACGGTGGTATTAAAAATCTAGCAGGTGTATTAAAGTTTCTCTAATTTTAATCCCGTCTCTTGGAAATACAAATGGAATACTAAACAGCAATAAACTAAACAGCAGGCTAAGGAACATCTTTGGAATTGTGAAACTATGAAGGCTGTCACAATTTGATCAGTCATATATTTCTTCTGTCAACGCATCTTTGTTTTCTTAGCACTTGTTTTTTCTTGCGAGTTATATTTATCCTTTAGTTTAATTTATTAGCTTTCTTTCCGCGTAATTCTTTTCTTGCAGTGGGTTTTATGATGAAGAGATCACAATCTCCTTGAAGCTTTATGTTTCAAATTCTTGACACTAATATAGGTTCTTTTGAGTTACAGATGTTTCTGCATTTGTCTGATAAAATGTGATAAATATTGAGGATTTTGCATGAGCACATCAATTTTCTGCGAAATGTGGATGTCATCTCATGCTGCCTGCCGGATATATATTCATTTTTGTAGTAACAATCTTGTTTTCAGCGATGTGTTTTATTATCGGCAACTTTTTTTTCCATTCATTTCTTTCAACTTTTTTTATACTATAATTTATAAAGAGTATCTAACAATCGCAATTCAGCGAAAAAGAAGAAATAAAAGTGAAACAAATGAACTAATTTTTAACGAATTGAAATTACACAGTCTTTAATTTTTTTTCTATTTTCTACTTTTTGGTCGATTAGTCTCTAATAGCGAAATTAAGAGCATCACAGGTGATGATGTATTGAGAACTGTCAAATAGAAAAAAAAAAAAAAAAGGCACAAAATACAGTAAAATAAAGGAAAAAAGCAAAAAATTAAATGCATCATATATCATACGGAGGCTGACATTTCAAATTTTGTGGTATTACTGATGAAAAAAAAAAAAGATGATATGTGTTAACAAATTTAACGCTAATTATCATAAAAAAACTATTGCTGATCGTTGTTATTGGTCTAAAAATCAATGGATTTCTGAATTTTTTTCAGCACTGCGTGAAAAACCGAGTTGAGCAGCTCAGTTAATAGAAATAATAATATTGGGAACTATAGCAATGGAAATAAGAAAATAATAATATCAATAATAACAACAATAACAATAACAACAGTATAATGATAATAATAGGAACAATAATAATAATAATAGGAATAATAATAATAATAATAATAATAATAATAATAATAATATAAGTAACAATAATAATAGTGATAATAGTAGTAATAATGCTAGAAACAATATAGACAGTAATGGTAATAACAATAAATAATAATAATAATAATAATCGGCGAAAGACCACAGTAAGGTAAATATGGTAATAGGAAAAAGAAGGAAGGCTGAACGATGAAACAGATCTGTAAGACTATAAACTGATGAGAAAATGGTAAGTGGTTTAATTAGTGGAAAGTTGTTTACTGCAAAATTGGTTGTTTATTTATTGTTTTGTTATGTTAAGTCCACATTATACCCGTAGTATAGAAACATGAGTAAAATTTGAAAAAAAGTAACATTCTGATAAGTGTTAGTTGAGCATAATTTTTATTTCATCAACTTTTTTTTCAGTTGAATAGATAATTCTGCCAATTTTTGCAAACAGTTTTTTTTTTTTTTTTTT